GGTTTCTTCTTGGAGAGAGATGGGGTGTCAATGGATGGATTGGAGCTGCTCTTGTTCTAGGTATAAGACATCTTCCATCTGCTATATGATTTCTAAAATCCAACCATGCATGGTAGAAACATGTAGTCAATTGACTTAATTAATTGACTTCTAGCCAAATAACTACTTGATGAAAGGAGGACAAGTTTTTAACAATGTTTCAACCTGCATATTACATTATAACTTAGGCTGTCTAGCCATCAAGGTATCTGTGCTGCTATAGTGCTTCTGGGACATTTTGTTGACCCCTTGGAGTTTTCCAAGTGAATTGCTTTTTGTTTTGCTAATCTTCACAATTATTATTTCTGACGTGGCCTATTGTAGTGTGGTTGTCCATTTGTAGCAATACGTGCCAGAATAAATTGTTGGTGACTGATTATTTCGCAATATTAACTTTAAAACTGATGCTTTTGGCAAGTTGATCCTCTTCAGATTTGCTTTCCGTACCTGGTGTGTCTATTCTTCATCTCCTTTCTGGCTATTGTCGGTGCCATCTATTTCATTTTAACTACTTAAATGGACAGGTTAATTGACTAAGAAAATCAACTGGTTCTTAAAATGACTATAGCCCTTACAGTTTGGGAGCATCACCAGGGTGACAAGTCAAAGATTTAAGATCTCACCAGAGTAACATCTTTTTTGCTACTCAGAAACTTGAGCTTGCCTGTGCTTTTGCTCTCCCCTAACCCCAAAACATATGCTGCGAAGATGCTTACCATATCTATACCGTTCAATTTTAGGTGGAAGTTTAACAGTACAGATACAAGGAGCATCGTCTTCCACTACATCGCAAAAAGATGAAAGAAGCATCAAGAAAAGCGACGATGCACCAGATAAGGAAAACAAGTTGTCTACCCCTCCAGTTCTTGTCAATTCTAGAAATGATTCCCGTACCTTATTAAAGAAGTGAGGCTTGTAGCTTGAGCTTGTATCATCACACCTGACCCAGGATGCACAACAGTTTTGTTGCTGCATGCGCAAGAGAATGTTTTAGTATAGCCGCACTAGATGGAGATATGACCATTCAACTAACTATGTAACATAAATAGACAAATACAGGCATCCACAAATTGGAATATTTATACTTTCGATCTGATCAACTGATGTTCCGCTCTACGTAGATGATGGCCATGCTATGAAATGGCATACTTGCCATTGAATTGAACAGTTCCGCTCTACGTAGGATCCGTCTAGCTAACTTAACCTTATCCCTACGCTTTTTCCTAGTTCTCATGTTGGCCCTTTGTTATATTATTTTGCTGAATATAATTTGCTACATAACAAAAAGAAAATAATTGATTCCATTGGCGAACAAAGTTAAGTGTGCAACGTAATGATGCCAATGACGAACTGATTTGAATGTACAATTCCAATAGTGAAATAATTTTACGTGAAAGATAAAAATTAACCTTGATTTTTAAGATTAGCAAGACCCCAATTTAGCAAGCAGGAGTAAATGTGTTTGGTTATCCTGAGATTCATATTCATGGAACTAGACTTCTCATTTGAGTGTGCAACTCCACAGATGTGTTTAATTTTTTTTTGATAAAACATTATAATTTTATTAAAATTTGCATTAATTAGTGGCAGAAGTTGCATCATCAATCGTATACAATCATATATAGATGTCAAAAAAATAGATATGATAATACATGGATATCAAAGAATAGATTTGAAAAGAATGGATATTACAAATATGAAAAACAAATAAAAATTAAGATAAAATATTAGTAGCCCCATGAACAATTGTGCATGTTTTTAATCATCAAATCTACTGATTAGCTATTTCAAATTCAGATATTATGGTGAAATCTGCCGAATAGACCTATGAAATTTTAGATTTGGCAATCAAAATCTTAAAAAAAAAAAGGTCAAATCTAACAATAAAAAAAAATGAAAAACTACCTAACTTAAAAGAGAACAAAATTCTTACTAAAAAAGTTTAGGAGAGAAGAGAACTCTCACTCGCCAACCCTAAGGCTTAGTTTGGGAGTTTAGGATAGAAAAGAAAAGAAGAGAAAACTAAGTTATGAGAGAAGAGAAGAGAAGAGATTGTTATGTTGTTTAGGAGTTTTGAGAATTAGTGGAAAGATTTTGGATATGAAAGTCATTAAAAATTCGTTCAAGACCATTTTGAGGACAAAATAGGCATTTTAAAAAAAGTGACAAGGATCCTCAAACTTTCTTCCCATTTTTTTTCCAATTTGGGAGGAAAATTTTTGGCTACTATTCATCCTCTTAGATCCTTCCATTTTCTTTCTTTTCTTTCCTACTAAAAACTAACAAATGAATGAAAACTTAACTTTCTCTTTTTTCCCTTTCTTTTTTGTCCAAATCCTCTGCTCCCAAACGAAGCCTAAGATGGAAGAAACTCTTAGCAAAAAATCTTGGGAGAGGCTGTATTGACACAAACAAAAATAAAACTAGAGAGAGGCTCCTTTCACGGGGAAATATCAGAAGAAAGGTCTAATCTCTCTCCCATGAAAGGGTTGGAAGACGTTTTGGCTAGATTTTTCTTCATGGGAAAGCTGGAGAATATTTTGGCTAGAGAGTTTTTTTAAGAGAGAAGGAAGAGAGTCTTTGCAACTCAAAGTAGTATAAATGTTGTTACATTAAACAGTTTTGCGGGATGAGAATGTAAATAATGGGCAAACCAGAAAATGAATAATGAATTTTCGTTGTCCACCCAACGATCATTTCAGTATCCTTGTTTCTTCTCGTCCATAAAATCAGTGTACCTCAAATGCATGAATTGGGCATTGAGTGCAAATACTCCCATGCTAAGCCTGATGTCTATCGTCTGTTCGAACCTTAAATGGAATTATTCTCATGCTTTGACTGACGTGAACAGGTTAGGAAAGGCTAATTAGTGTAAAGAAGTGAGAGCATAAGACTCAAAATTATGATTCCTAAATTACTCCACAATTTTCGTATGGACTGCTTTACAGCGGATTTAATCTTAGCGAGCGAATTGGTCTTCATAACAGCTACGACTAATGAGACACGCCTAAGAAGAAGAAGTTAGATTGATGATCTTAGCAATTGAATTGTGATAAGATAACCACTGAGCTTAGCTCAATGGCCACCAGGCAGGAATTTAAGTCCCTCCTTGGGCTGTAGGTGGGGGGAGGGGGTTCATTACAGCAAAAAAAATTTAAAAGTGGTGTTATAGCACTCCCTTGATCTAATTAGGTCTACATATCTATTAGTCCCTAACACACAACTCTCCTTAGACTCCCCCTCCCTGTAGATTAGGATAGAATAGGCTATACAATTGTTATCGTTGCCCGAAAAAAAAATTGTGATAAGATATTAATCCTAGTGGATGAGGCACCCCTACGGCTGTGCATAATACAAGGGAAAACAAATAATGGAAAAAATATATCACGGGATTTTTTCTACTTTTTTTTTCATTGAAGTTGGGAGGAAGACTTTGGGATAAATATGTAAACATGAATTTGAAACATGAGGTGGTGGTATATTATCCTATTATGTAAGGGTAAAATTGGAATAACAAATAATGACAGAATTTTTTAACACCAAATTCATTGCTCATGCATTATATAGAAAGATGTGAAGTTCGAAGAAAATTTTTCTTTCTTCTTTTATTTTTGGAAGGAATTGTCAAAAGTAATTTAACCCATTTATTAATAGGGGAAGCATTTATTGATAAGGGAAGTAAATGGGCCCAAAAACAACACTTAGATGGTTCAAAAATTTGGAAATGGTTCAAAATTTGCGATAAATGGGCCCAAAAATAACACTTAGATGTCAATTGGGCAACAATGGACAGCGTTACAAACTCAAGAGAACGGGTAAGAAGAGCCTTGAGCCCAGATTGAATGCCATGGTTTAATGAGTTACAATTTCCATAAAATCGGCGTGTGTCGCCCGAGCCAAGTTCAAATTGGACATCACACAAACCAAACTCATGTCTCTCTCTCCCTTTTTTGGGTTTTGTTTTTGTTTTTGTTTTTTTTTTTGGGGAGGTAACAAATCAATCTCATGTTGAATCCCTTTAAAGCATTTTTTCTTGCAATAGAGGAATCGTGAACTTAGTATTAATCAATCCGGTTTAATTAAAAAAAGAAAAAAGAAATTACTCACTCCAAAAAAAACTTCTTATATGGTGAGAATGTAAAATTTTTGTTACACGAGTAGTTTAAAATGTAATATCAACTCTATCGAAATACAATATATGTACCTAACGTGACAAATATATAGAGAGCAATAGAATATGGGTGTGCAAAATGTAGCTTATGATTACCACTTTACATCGAAATTTCATACATTATCGTAATTTTTACTTCAATTCCCCTCACCCTAGTTTATTTCAAAAGAATACAGTCATATACTAAACTTTTTTTTTTTCACTTCGAGATTAATTTGAGAGCTCCGATAGCATTTGTTAATAAACACAATTTGATATTTTTAATTATACAATATACACGCTCACGTTATTTACTTATTTAGTTTGATGCTATTCCTTATGATTAGTTTGCATTTCTAAATATCACACAAACAATATATAAGAAGTTAAGAGTCCGCTTGAATTGGTATTTTCTTAAGCTTTTTTTTTTTATAAAAAAAATATAATATAACGATTTGATATATAAAAAAAAATTAAGAAAAAAATGTGTTTACGGAAAATTAATCTTGAAGTTCAAACAAAGATATCCTAATCTGGAAGTTCAACGTCACGGGCGTGGACAACGTTGTGATACTAAGGAGAACGAAACCTCTGAATCTTTAGATTGACACAGGCTTCTTTGATCTCTATTCTACCATTTCCGTCTTCTTCTGCACCTACTGCCGACCCTACAACAATCCAATCAACACTCGCCACGTAAAGTTCCACACTCTGCATCCCAAAACAAAATGTACACGCGTCAGTGCATCACTGGTCCAATTTCCCCTCAAGTTCTCCAAATTTAAATATACAAAAAAAATAAGGCGTGGAGAAATCTGTCTGTGTTCACCTGCGGCTGCACCCCGTTCTACCATGGCTGCACCTTCATGTCCGTTTCACGCAATCAAGCTCGGTCACTACTATTCCCCGAACCGACGTCGTTTTCACCTCTTTTCTTCTTTCACTTGCCACCGTAGTAGTTCCGGTCCGACGGATAACAAACTTACTACGACGTCGCATGGAACAAGCGTTAAGCAGAAACAATCACGCCAGCCAAAATTCTTAGTTAAATTTCGAGATGGCGATTTCTCAAATAGTGAAAAGGAGCCCGACTTATCTAAAAAAGGCGTTAGTTTGCCGGAAAGTCGATGCTTTGAACGGAAAGCGCTATGGAGAAAGATTTTATTCGCATCGGAGAAAGTGAGGAGCATTCTCTTGCTCAATGCCATCACAATAATTTACGGTCAGTTTTTTCTTCAAAACTTTTCTGAAAATCTTTTCTAGTTTTAACGGTTAATTTTTAGAATTAATCTTTCCTACACAGTAGCAGCATTATTAGATCAACGATAATTATGTAAAATTTGAGTTTAAAATTTAATTTTTATCCACATGTCATGAATCAAAAAATGATAGTATATATCAGTAGGAAAGATGTACTCTAATTTTTAAGGTAATGAATTAACTACTATGATGCAAAAATATGATATTGTGCTTATGAGTCAGGAGAAATTGGTAGGTTGTGTCGGTTCAAGGAAAAATACTAGTAAAAGAAAAAAGGAAAAATGTAATCTTGATTTGAGTTTGATGATCTATGAGGTGGATGTTGTCGGAGAAAGGATGACTGATCTCCATACACAGAGTGATAGGCCAAGATTCCTAGTCGTTATTATGCTTTTCTTGAAGTAATTCTAGATTCTTATTTGAACTTGTTAGAGGGAGAATGTATATAACGTAGGATGGAAATCTTTAAGTGGAGCTCATTTTTGAGCTAATAATGACATTTGAGAGCATCAAGAGGAGTCACACCGAGATATTTCAGAAAATCACGGTACATGTTGAATCAAACTTTGGTTGAGAAAGAATGTTTTTTGTAGTTGAGTTTTCATTTCGACTGTTTACCATGTTACTTTGAGATCTTCAATTGTATCATTTCGCGTTACAGAAAGCTAATTACATAAACATGTCTTCATTTATGTAAACTTTCCTGAATTTCGCGTCACTTGTATATGATAAATACACTGTAGAGATTCTCTTCAATCCTATGTGATGAGAAAGAGCTCTGACTGTTCTAGAAACATTTCTTAATGGCTTGCGAATGGCTGGGATCATAGTATGCAAATGCATTCTCTAATTCTTTGCAAGCCTTATGAATCTATGATGCTTGCTTTTTCATAGTTTTTCTGAGGCTGACAAATGAGGCCAAAATTTGTTGTGTAGCAAATAGTTCTTTTGTGGCCTTTGGTATTGTGCTTAACTAATATCATCATTTCTTTTGTGCAGCTAGCAATATTCCTATAGTGAAAGAAGTGGAAGCATTTATTGATCCTGGCACATTCACTATTGTCAGATTTGTTTTGTCTGCAATTGCATTTTCGCCATTTGTTTTGAAAGCAAGAGATGATGTTCAAACCCGGAATGCTGGGATAGAATTGGGATTTTGGGTCAGCCTTGGCTACCTTATGCAAGCCCTTGGATTGCAGACATCGGGTGCAGGACGGGCATCTTTCCTCACAATGTTCACTGTAAGAAAATATGCAAGGATCTCATTCAATTCACAAATTTTTTGCCATTTTATTTTGACACTGATAGATATATAAGCCAGCATTCCAAAATTTTGGTACAATTCTTCAGGTGATTGTGGTTCCTTTGCTTGATGGTATCCTAGGATCGAAGATCCCTGCACGTATTTGGTTTGGAGCCCTCATGTCTATAGTAGGAGTCGGAATGCTAGAATCCAGTGGCTCACCTCCTTGTGTAAGTGTCTTCTACATTACCTGGTTTATTTGCTTCCTCAAAATTTTTACATGCAAGTGTGACTTCTCAAGTGAATATGTTTACTGGAAACCATTATTTGTCATTTGACAGAAGACAGACATGCAAGAGTACTCACTAGTTTGGTGTGACCTTTCAGGTTGGGGACTTGTTGAATTTCTTAAGTGCCGTATTTTTTGGGGTTCACATGCTAAGAACAGAACATATTTCTAGAGCTACTACCAAAGAGAACCTCTTACCTCTCCTCGGATATGAGGTTAGTTTAGAAGGAATTGAATTACTCTCAGTGCCACCTCAATCTGTTGGCTTTGTATTTTCAGTTTACATGAATTATTGGGACATTTTTCCCTTTAGGTATGTGTGGTTGCTTTTTTATCAACACTCTGGTATGTCCTTGGAGTTTGTTCTGGTGGCACTCAAGCATTAAATCCATCATCCTGGACATGGGGAAAATTTGCGGATTGGATGGTAGCATTCCCATGGGTACCTGCAATTTATACTGGTGTTGTCTCCACAGGATTATGTCTATGGGTAGAGGTATGGCCACCTTAAAGTATTGGTTTTCTACCTTGAGTGTTTACTTGTGAAAGTTCTTCTTTTGCATGCCTTTGTGCTCATATCTTGAGCAACTTTCCATATGGTTCCATCTATGCAATCCTGTTCTGTAATTGTGTGTACTCATCTATTTGTTGTAGTCTAAAGTTTGTCTGTTAAACTGAAAAATAAACTCTTTCCTTGTGTATTTAAAGGAGGGCTAGATGGAAATAAAGGTTTACTGCTAATCTGATAAGAATAGAAGCGGCAATGGTATTTTTCCCTGTATTCATAAAAGAACCAAAAGTATTTTAGTATATGCATTATGTTAAACCTTTTTTTAATCAGAAAAAATTACTTGTTATTTTGCAGTTAGAAATATTTTTAGCTCCTGCATTTTATTATGTTACTCTGGTCACATAAATATACAAAGGAGTTTCCTACATATTTTCAAAATTTAGGAACTAGATGTTTACCTCAGATGATAACTTTGTGAGAAGGGGAAGTTAACTGCTGAAATGACTGGCAAGAAAACTAAGACGAAAAGCAAGGGTTACCTAAATAAAAGCTGAATTGGAGAATGCAGAATCAGAGGCTTGGGCTATTCCAGGGCGTGCCAGGTACTGGTTGTTCTTGAGCATCTTGCCTTGGAATGTTTCGGTTTGTTATGTCTTGTCTTTTCAATCTGTGATGGTAATGGTATCCAATTCCTTCTCTTTCTTACTCCATCAATCATATCTGTTGTCTCGTCTATCAAAACAAGTGCTCTCTGTCTCAGTCCAAGAGTAGATGATTCAACCTACCTGTCTAATAAGATGTTACTTCCCATGATGAGAAACTATTGATTTTCTTCTACCACTTCCATACCACAATTCTTGTTACAATTTCTAATTGGTAGAAATCAGAATAATTCACTACATGATTTCTGCTGCAATATTAGATAATACTAATAGGTATGGAATTTGGTTTGACTGTCTGAAGTGTTTTAGATGAATTTTATTTTAAAGAAAAGACCTTGATCGTGAACTATAGTTGCAAAATTTAGCTTTTTATTTTTTTCAATAAATAAATCCTTGAAACCAAGACAACCAATATATGCTTATTTGGTATTGGTGATTCTTAAACAAAGATCATTGTTCTTCTCTACTTTAAGCAGGTTTTGCTAGCTAGTCTTGATCTAATCACCTAGCATTATAATACAGATTGCGGCCATGCGAGATGTTTCAGCCACAGAAACTGCAATAATCTATGGGTTGGAGCCGGTCTGGGGTGCTGCATTTGCATGGTTTCTTCTTGGAGAGAGATGGGGTGTCAATGGATGGATTGGAGCTGCTCTTGTTCTAGGTATAAGACATCTTCCATCTGCTATATGATTTCTAAAATCCAACCATGCATGGTAGAAACATGTAGTCAATTGACTCAATTAATTGACTTCTAGCCAAAGAACTACTTGATGAAAGAAGGACAAGTTTTTAACAATGTTATAACTTAGGCTGTCTTGCCATCAAGGTATCTGTGATGCTATAGTGCTTCAGGGACATTTTGTTGACCCCTTGGAGTTTTCCAAGTGAATCGCTTTTTGTTTTGCTAATCTTCACAATTATTATTTCTGACGTGGCCTATATTGTAGTGTGGTTGTCCATTTGTAGCAATACATGCCGGAATAAATTACTGGTGACTGATTATTTCGCAATGGTAACTTTAAAACTGATGCTTTTGGCAAGTTGATCCTCTTCAGATTTGCTTTCTGTACCTGGTGTGTCTATTCTTCATCTCCTTTCTGGCTATTGTCAGTCCCATCTATTTCATTTTAACTACTTAAATGGACAGGTTAATTGACTAAGAAAATCAACTGGTTCTTAAAATGACTAGCACTTACAGTTTGTGAGCATCAGAGTAACATCTTTTTTGCTTCTCAGAAACTTGAGTTCGCCTGTGCTTTTGCTCTCCCCTAACCCCACATGCTCCAAAACACTTGTTGCGAAGATGCTTACCATATCTATACCGTTCAATTTTAGGTGGAAGCTTAACAGTACAGATACAAGGAGCATCGTCTTCCACTACATCGCAAAAAGATGAAAGAAGCATCGAGAAAAGCGGCGATCCACCAGATAAGGAAAACATGTTGTCTACCCCTTCAGTTCTTGTCAATTCTAGAAATGATTCACGTACCTTATTAAAGAAGTGAGACTTGTAGCTTGAGCTTGTATTTTCACACCTGACCCAGATACACAACAGTTTTGTTGCCGCATGCGCAAGAGAATGTTTTAGTATAGCCGCACTAGATGGAGATATGACCATTCAACTAATTATGTAACATAAATAGACAAACACAGGCATCAACAAATTGGAATATTTATATTTTAGATCTGATCAACTGATGTTCCTCTCTATGTAGATGATGGCCATGCTATGAAATGGCATACTTGCCATTGAATTGAACAGTTTGGTTTTGAGCTTCATGTCATCTGTAGTTCGCCACTGCACTGATGTTTTGTTGAACGCAAACGCCGCCAAACTACAACCCCAATTTGTGCTAAACTTCACCCAGTCTCCTTACCTTTACAGTGGGTCCACACTATTTTTGTTAAATTGGTATTTACTCTTAATTTTGTTGATAACTGGAGGCATCCAATTTGGGAGGGAATGGGTTGTGCTTCTTTTTTCAGTACTATACAAAACACAACCTGTATTTCATTTTAAGTTTGGTCCTTCAAAGTTGTAAAGCATGTATTTAAAGTTCAAAATGAGGTAGAGTTCAAGTGTTTTGATACGTCTCCAAAAAGCGTTGAAGTGATCAGCCGGTTTATGAAGAGACGCCACCACAATTTTCCACTTGCCTGCAGGATCAGTTCTGAAAATGATTCTTGGAATTGAAGTTATTTTATCGAGCAGACGAGGAAAAGAATAGTGAGTCTGCATAACTAAGTCTAACCTAGCTTAGTTCTACTCCTACTGGGGGAGCTTATTCTAGAGGGGTGATTCAATTGAGTCGAGGGAACTTGACGGAAACTGAGCTACTATCAAATTAGACGGGTTTGAACCTTTGATCTTTCATTTCGCAATTAATGTGGTGGTCGACTCTTCCGGAGGGAGTTGGCTAACCCCCTATTATTCAAACTTACTAAAGTTGCATAATTATGGAATAGCTTTTGCAGTATAAAAAGAAAACTTCATGGAACTTGTTTGTTGATTGAAACCCTCAAATATTCCCATATGCGAGGTTATATTCATTGCAGCTCCTTTAAACTTGATTCCATCATTTTTTTTACCTGTAGGGAAATGCGTTTTGTCGTTTTCATCATCCGGAAAGATATCTAGAATTGTGCTCCATTAATGGCCAACTAGCTTCTAATCCAATTCCCTTCTGGCCATACTGTTGGGAGAAAACATTAGGTACTTTGACGTATTGGTTATGTTTTCAGTTTCCATAATTTTCGTTCTCCATTGGTACTAAATGACGGAGTAGAAGGGCAGAAAAGAATGAGCAGAAAAGATCCTCAATTTTGTTCTGTGGAAAGATAGTTTTAGGGATGGCAACGGAGGCATCGCTCTGCTGGAAGCAACTGGGTAGGGAAGAGGGCGAGGTCGGGAGAGGGAGGCTGGGAGAATTTTCTCCCCCTACTTTAATTACAGGTTGCGAGAGGATACTCCTGCTTTAGCCCCCACTTATGATTTGATAATTGTGTAATATATTTATATATGTATAATATGAAATAAATACTATGATATTATCATATATAATATATAATATGATATTTGATGAACATGATATTTTTTTGTGATAAAATGATGCGATTTTTATTATCAATTTATTGTGGTAAAATGATTATTTTATTATGTTAGTTTATTTTTGGGAAATTTGCCAAATTGGTCCCTAACATTTACCAAAAACACTTTTTTAGTCCTTTACATATAAAATCAGCCAAAATGGTCCTTCACATTTAAATTGTGAGCCAATGTGGTCCTATTGCTCGTTTTTGCTCATTTCTCCGGCTAAAAATAGCATGCCTCTCTCACGTGATCATATTTTTAGGGGCAAAACCGGAAACACATTTCATTACCTGTTAAAAGTAAAAGGTATGGACAACCACCAAAATACACATTTCACCTTTGGCCCTCAAAGTTTCAAGAAACCTGAATTGCATCCCCGAATGGTGGCGAAAATTATTTTGTAATTCTCCTGTATAAGTGATGTGCTTGATGAATCCATAGATCTGGTTCTTGTTTACTTATATCCGAAAGTCCTAACCTTTCTATTCTAAGTGAGAGTCTAACAAGTCCAGGACATTTGTGCAACATCGATCCCACGAATCCAATTTTGGCCTTAGCTGGAACCCTAAGCCTCAGCTCCTCCGCCGCCCGCCAAAGCCGCTTACTCGTGTCCCTCCATCCTTTGCAAACCCTGGCCGCTGACAACAGTGTTGGAGGCGGGAGCCTCCTCAACACCTCCCACAGACAACTCATCGGCAGCTTCCCGGACCCGGCAAGATCCGATTCGGGGCTCTAGCTCGAGAAGCTCCTCCTCGTCCTCCTGGTGCTCTTCCTCATCCTCTCCCTCGTCTTGCGAGTCCCTCGATCGCATCAATATCATCGTCGAAGGAGAGAGCTCGCCGGAGGTTGGAGAAATGCTGGCGATGAGGAGGGGGAGGACAGACAGTGGAGAGAGGAGAAGGGATAGCGAGAGAGGAGGCGGCTGAGTCAGTTGAGGGCGTGGCGGTGGGATGCAATTTAGGGTTTCTTGAAACTTTGAGGGCCAAAGGTGAAATGTGTATTTTGGTGGTTGTCCACACCTTTTACTTTTAACAGGTAATGAAATGTGTTTCCGGTTTTGCCCCTAAAAATATAACCACGTGAGAGAGGCGTGCTATTTTTAGCCGGAGAAATGAGCAAAAACGAGCAATAGGACCACATTGGCTCACAATTTAAATGTGAAGGACCATTTTGGCTGATTTTATATGTAAATGACTAAAAAAGTGTTTTTGGTAAATGTTAGGGACCAATTTGGCAAATTTCCCTTTATTTTTTTCACATATTGCAAGTTTATAAAAAAATAGTAGCAATTACCTTAAATTCTATATTGTATCAAATATGAAGAAATAAATTAAAAAGATCAAAGTGATCTTTAAACTTTACTTTACCTTCAATTTTTTTGGCTCAAATTTAAAAAAAAATGATTAGTAAAATTATTATTAGTGTTATATATATTGAAAAATAAGTTCAAATAAAAAATAAAAATAACAGGTTCTCCCCTACCCCAGATCCGACTACTTACCATCTCTAGATATTTCAGAATCAAGAACAGGTTAACCATTTGATTGGTGACTGGTAAATATGAAAATATAAATGAGTTTAGTGTTGCTAATGTCATTCGATTACTAGGGATTCTGTTGTACCAAAGTGCGGTACCATTATGATAAGCTATGGTGCGTTTTTTAAAATCTGAAATTAGTTTGTACCTTGTGGCTTCTTTCCGAACCCAAAAGCAGCAAGGAATGATTCATCTAAATCATTGCCTGAGCCAAAGCTATGCAAATGCACAAGAATCTGATAAAACACACACTCTTCTTTTGACATTATAAATAGGCCACATTCCAGACGTCTTGATATCAAGTTAGCCAAATTATTTCCCTTTTACATAGCCCAAAAAAGTCAAGAAAATAGTAGTACAACTATGGCTCAACTTTGTAAGCTTGAGCTCCAGACAGAAATGAAATCATCTCCTGATAGGGTATTTGATATTTACAAGAACAAAACCAGCCTCATGCCCAAGATTAGTCCTGACAAACTGCAAAGCATTCAAGTGCTCGAGGGGGACGGCAAGAGTGTTGGCTCTATCAGACTTTGGACCTATTTCATGGGTAAGTACTATATTACAATAGTATTGCCTTTTAAAAAAAAAAAAAAAAAAAAACTCCTCGGTTGATCGAAACTGGTTGTATGAATTATATGTTTATTGTGATATTTCAAATATTTTTTTAATAGGATAATCACTCTTTCTAAATATCCTTTTTTTTTTTTGAATTAGAGAACTTTCTTTGAAAAAGAAAAAAAAATTCCTCCAATTTCAAGTGCATTTCAAAAGCTTAAAAACAAAAACTAAGAACATTAACAAAGAGGCTAAAAATGACCCAAAACGAGTAATCTTATAGAATTTTTTGGGAAACCAATATATGATTGATCAGTTCCTCATATTGTCCAAGCGCTTGGATTTTTTGATGTACAAATTTCTGGATAAAATTAATCAAAAAATTGTCCGGGGCAGTGTGCTTTAATATACCACAGTTTTTGATAGATGCAATACAACAACCATCGCAATTAAGAACAATTTAATGTCTTGTCTGTTTAGACAAGCGTTAGGATTTCAGCCACACAATTGTTAGTTCAGCAATTGGAGGTGTTTTGTACATTGGCAGAAGTTAAAACATCATGTGCCTTCATATGGCCAGAAAATGACTACTGGTATTGTACAACAACTGTGATATTTCTTACAATACTGGCAAGCAAATAGTTCTAATGTCTTGGGTGAAGAAAGTAATTACTCAGTAGTTAATCTGTAGTAGAAAAAGCAGACAAATGTATGATAGCATTTATGAAGACTCTGTTTTAGTTTTGAGAAAAATTTGTAGGCAAACAATTTTACAGCAAAGGAAACTTTGATGACTTAAAAGTTACTACTATCATCGTCTCTTCAGAAATGACTCCAGTCAATGGCATTTTAAGAAAAGAGGGAAAAAAAAAATCATTTCATCAGTTTTCGTGGTAATGAAACGATACCCATAAAACTAAGTAATGACGGTTTACTGAGAAATATATCGAATTATGCTGGACTATCTTGGACTCCAAATGATTAATGACCAGACTCTAGGATGAACATAGTTTTATAGCCTTGTAAATTACTATTTGCCCTTAACAAATTAACCGGTTTATTCATTTTTTTATAAAAATTTTGTGGTCGAATTCCGGCTTATGGTTGCTTGTTTTAATTCCACCATTTTGATATTTACTTTTATTTTCAATTAAAGTTAGACCTATGTTTTGGTAAAACAGAGACACCTGTGGTTGCAAAAGATAAGATTGATGCTATTGACATGGAAAACAAAACCATCACATTTGAGCTTATAGGAGGTGAAGTTACAAGCTATTTCAAGAGCTTCAAAGCCACTCTCCAGGCAATTGCCCAAGGTGATATAAACATGGTGAAATGGACTCTAGAGTACGAGAAAGCAAGAGAAGATATCCCAACCCCACATTCCCATCTTGATTTTCTGATAAGTTGCTCTAGAGACGTGGATGCTTACCTTCTCAAAGCACAGAAAAATTAATTAAGATCATCGGCAGTGATTTTGATTTTGTGTATATTTCGATAACTGCTTAACAGCATACCTCTTCTTCCATGTATTTCATTCTTGCTTGCAGTGTTGTTGTGAAGTATGGTTTTGTTGGTTTGGGCTTGTAA